TCCTAGACCCCCTCCCACGCCCCCACGCATGGGCTGCAGGGCAGGGGAGGTGGGGAGAGCGAGCGGTACTCACAGCTCCGAGTGCGGAGGGGGGCAGAGGGGGCCGATCTCCTGGAAGTCCCTGGTGGGAGGAAGGGGAGAGCATTACAGGACAGTGCCAGAGTGGAGCCCCACCTGCCCAGGCCCCCGCGCAGGGTGGGCTGGGGTCTCCTCTGGGCTCGCACAGGATGTGCCGAAGTGGGGAAGAGAGCCCAGGAGTCCTGGCTCCTGCCCTCGCTCTAACTGCGAGACCCCCCTGCCCTTCTCCAGCGCGGGGACAGCACCCGTGTCCGGGACCTGCAGCCCCCAGGCTCTCTGCCGGGTGTCGGGGGCTCCATGGCTCCAAGCCAAGGGCCCCCCCACCCCAGCCCAGCCCCAGCCATGACTTACTCCTTGGCCACGGTGATGCAGGTGACCTCGCCCTGCGCCCGGCACGTGGCCGTCCGGCGGATGTTCCTGCGGGGAAGGGGCCGTGAGCAGGCTGGGGGGCACAGGGTGGGGCAAGGGCCTGCGTGTCACCTGCTTGTGGGCAGGCCAGCCCGCGTGTGCTGGGCCATGCACGTGTCAGCCCACGCATGCACGCCAGCCTGTGCATGCGCCAGCCTGTGCATGGAGGCCTCTGCATACTGGGAGGCTGCAACCAGGGAGTGGGTGGACCAAGTGGGCATGGGGACTGTGAGTGTGCAAGTATATGCATGAGCACATGTGCTAGCACACACATATGGGCTGGTGTGGACTTCTGCATGCACTTGGCCTGAGCCTGGACCAGGAGGGGCCTGATCTAAACCCCAGGCTGGGGAGGGGGACATACCGCAGCAGCGAGAGCTCCCCGAAGTGCTCGCCGGCCCTCATCACCCGGATCGGCTCCTCCCGCCCGCCCACGCTGTGGCTCACCCGGACCTGCCACGAGAGGGGCCGGGCATCACGCGGGTCCAGGGCCACCAGGGCAAGGGCCAAGCTGAAGCCACCTGGACCTCAGGGGCCAGGGAGGGGCCGGGCTGGAAAGGACTTGGGGGGGGTCCGGTGCGAGGCAAGGCTGGACTCACCTCCCCGCGGAGGATGATGTAGAAGTCCTTCCCCTCATCGCCTTCGCGGATGATGACCTCGTCGTGCCCAAACGTGCACTGCAAGAGGTGGGGGTGGGCGTGGGGCAGGAGAGGGGGGCCCCGGGACCCC